CCAAGCCCTTCCCGGCAGGGCTGCCCTCAATCCCTTCACCCCCCAGCCTGTATTGATACAATTTTTATCTCAACCCACATATTTTACCTTTTTTTTTTTTTTTTTTAATTCTCTCCCCCATCCTGCTGTGGGGGGGAAGCAAGTGAATGGCTGTGTAGTGTTTAGCTGCCTGCTGGGTTAAAACACCACACTAAGCTACATAATAGCATATATACCTGTACATTTCTGCTATGTTTTGTGTATATAAGCATAACATTTTAAATTTGTCATACGGGAGTTCAGTAATCTGTTTAACCTGATACATATTTAGTTACTCTAAAAATAAAGGTTACATATATTAATATACAACAACCTCTTCATTCTTCTTTACTTTTATAGCACAGGCAGAGAGAGAATCAATTCATTATTCATGATTTAGAGCAGGTAGAAGCCTATTTAGCCCACTGTAAGTAAATATGTGTACTGCTGAGTGTGTGCAGAATGAAAAATCTCGTGTTTAGTTATTTTTAAAACATCCCCTCTTGCTCTGCTTCTTAGCAAGTTCAAGGGTCAGCCCATTAATAATATTTTGTATTGAACAACAGTCATCTGATAGTTGTCTAGATGAAAGATTTGGATTTGAAGTCTTTGATAGATCTGTGCTGCATAACTTTCCACCCTTGAGCATGACCCTTTGCATTATGTATCCTTTGTATCTCTTAAAGTTAGTCTCAGAAGAGATTAATGGACAGTTTCTCTGTTCTGAATGACACATTAGGATGAAAACAGTAGCCCTGCTTCCCTCAGACTGGGAGGTTTACATTTTTCTCTCAATTTATTATACATTAGTCTCACTTATATCACTTATTCTGTACATAAACGCTAAACTAGCACTTACAGAAATATTGAAATAACAGCTTTGCATTTAATGCCACAATTAGCATAACAGTTGTGAATTATCCCAGACTTCATTATCATTCATTCTGTTGAACTACGAGATGACCATATTTCCATTACTGTCTATAATTGATTTTTCCAAGTCTTCTTATACAGCTTCAAGCAACAATATCAAGAGAGCCACAATCCTCTTGAAACTCAAATTTCAGGTCTGACTGTTGCATTCGGATTTTATCATGGCACTAATGAAAACAATGTAAGACCTGTTGCTAAGGAGTGGAAGTACATGTTGCTGTAATACTTACAAAGTTCCAAACTCTGCATCACTACTGATGAATTCTTCCAACATACTTGTATCCACCATGGGATTCTCCAAGGCTCCATGGACATCTTGCCCTAAAATTAAAAATGTCAAAAAGACAGAAATTACAAGAGAGAAATTTGGAGGGAGTCGTCAGTACTTCGGACTAAGTAACACTGCCCACTCTCCTACACAAAGGAAAACCAAATCTTTGCTGTCTCACGTGTAACGGATGGGTTACGCTTCTGGTTTTAGTCACTGGGAGAAAGGATGATGGGAAATGCAGAGTAAAAGAGGATGTGCAGAGGAAGATGAAGATGACACCGCAATGCCAGGCAAACACCAGTTCATGCATGGCATTAAGGCTTCAGTGAATTACTACAGTAAGAGGATGAAGGGCCCCAGTCTGCAACTGGAAAAGGGGGTTTTGAAGCTAACGTCATACTCTCTTACACTGGGATCAAAACAGGCGATTGGGTCAAAGCTCAGACATTCTCTCACACAGATCCACTTTCTGCATTGGTACTGCAAGTGAGTTTCTGAAACAGTTTAAAAATCCACCGTCCTGAGCTTAAAGAAAGCAAAAATAAAGCTTTAGAAATGTGTGATTGGTGGCTTCCTTTTATTTTCCCTGAAAAACTAACTTGTTAAATGTACTAATGAATGGAAAGGTTCAGTACTTTGTCCTTTGTTGCTTGGTAACTGAAGGCTATAAACAGATTTTATGATTATAAAGTCACCGGAATTCATGACAACTTTTGTAGAAAGTCAACCGGAACTCTCTAAAAAAAAACAAACAAACAGAACTACTTTGTAGGCTCCCCACCTCTCCAGCAAGCCTTCCATAAACACAGGTGTGGCCAGCTAGAAAGCAAACGAGATAAGGACCTTGAAGCTATTGCTCTCTCCAGCGAGGCACAGGAGCTGTGCGTGGCTCCGTCCCACTGCTGCACAAGATGAAGCGGACCAGCCTATAAATCCGGCGCCGGGTGGCTCAGCCCCCAGCGGCTGCTGCCGACCGTTTCCCCTCAGCTCCGCCGCAGAGCGGGAGATCACAAAAGGTTGGTCACTATCATTGAGCACGAGAGCAGTAACTGCCTTTGGGGCTTTTACTGTCTTCTCACTGTACTAGCATCAAGATGTGTGCATGGTAAGAAGTCATATCATAAAATTTCTTCTGGTTTCTTTCCTGATGTCTCTGTCTGACATGGTTTCTTCTTGATCCAGCGTTTAGATATTACTTAACTGCAAGCAGCATATAAAAATCCACTTCCACCACCTTGCACAAGAATTCCCTCATGTGTCTGTCTTAATACATAAATTCACATTACTAATAAACATCTCCTAAATTGCTTTGGGATCACAGATTAATCTAGGCATCATTTGCTTATCACTACTGCAGACGGTTTTGGCTGCCTTTCACTGTGAGGTAGCAACTTGCAGATGTGCTACTGACAGATCCCTGCATCCCAACGTACTGGCATTGTATACAAACCTGTCCTCTGCCCATCTGAGAACAGATTCAATAGGTGCAGCATACTTACTTGCCTCAGCAAAACTGTATCATGGAAAGTCCCGAAGTAGCAGTGAACAAAGTACTTTGCAAAACCAGCTTGACAGCAAAAAAAGAGCCTGGCTTTCTTCAGCAGCCTTCCTCAAACTTGTTGGATTCTCATCTTTTCATCTTCATGTCTGAACTTAGGATATTACTCCTTGAATCTCAAACACTTCTCCTTTTGCTAATGTAGTCCACAGGAAAATGATTCAGTCACGTTCTCCTTCCTTTACCCACCTGTCCAAATTACCTGGCCCTCATGCAGAGTGATATAATTTTGTTCTTAACATGAGGCTAGAGGTCAGATACAAAGTGTTTTTCCTGTACCACAAAACCAAGAATTCCTTATTTTGACCAAGGTCAGAGACAAGCTCTTTTGAAGTACAGCTAGGAATCAAACAAGGACGGGGCCTTTAGTATGGGCATCCCACAGTCCAGAGATTGGCTCAGTTGCTAAGTGATGACAACAGCAATATGTATCATCCCCTCTTAATCTCTCCACTTTGCATAAACAGTTAAATGGGTAGGATGAGGAGGAAGGAATAAGTAATTCTGTGCTGGGAGAGGAAGGAAGCACACCAGGAAGAAGACAGGCCACCACTAATGAAAGTTCACAGTACAGGTGCACAGAAGAGCCAGTACATTTGGCTGCTCTGTAGAACTTTATTCTTTCTTTCTGAATGTACTTTCCAGGTCAGTGGCGTCGTGTGCTTGCACTGGCACCGGTTTCAGCAGAGGAGGAGCTGTTGGATCACATGCACATTTATTTAAAATGGTGGCATCCATTTCACAGGCGTTTGATCACAGTAAGTACTTAATAGGTACGGGTAGTACGCAAGCCAGGATATGCGGAGTCAGCAGCCTTTATCGGCCCGCGCTCGGGGATCTCTGCTCCCAGTCCACACTCCACACCGCAATGTGCGCAGCCAGCTCTGGGAAGACTCTGGTGCACTGGGTGACACATTCAGCTTTAGTGTCATGGCGCAGAGGATTGCCAGCTACACAAGAAACTGACGAAGATGAAAGGCCAAGACAGTGACTGGGGTTTCACATACAGTTGTTTGCAGAACAGAGTGCAGTCATAGGCAGCATATGATGCTATTTTTCCCATTTCTCCTTAAGCTTCATATTCTGTTATTATCTCTCCTTCAATCTGAAGCCTAAAACCTGTCAGTTCTACCACTGGCTTCTGTTTCCCTGTCCATTCTTGCCTAGTCTGTCCCTGTTCCCGGCCCCAGGCCCCTAAGGAGTAGCCCAAACTCCAGCCTCCTAATGTGACAGTTGCTTGCTTCATCTCTCTCTCTTTGGCAGACACCCCCTCCTTTCCCCCAGCCTTGAGGCTCGTCACCTGGCTCCTCAGCTTCACTTTACACTCCTGCAGCCATCAGCCTCAGTCCCTGAATTACCTGCCCCGATTCATTCTCCCAACATTTCCATGTAGTGCCTTACATATGACCACATTTAAATCAGCGATCTCCTTTTCAGTAGTATCTAAATGCGAAGTGAAGGAGGAGGGACAGAGAACCAGAAATTCCTTGCAGTAAGTTCTATGTCTTTCCCAGAGCAGCCATTTCAGAGAAAGTCACACACTGTCCTGAATTTGGCTTAAACACAGCCATCACTTTCCAAAGGAGTACCCAAGTAGCCAAGTAACCAGGCTATTAGGGTGCTCTTTCTGCAAACATAAATTCAGTCCACAACCACTAAAATATTACGTCAAACTTCTAGTATTGACTAAAAAATCAATACTAAACTGATCATTTCCTGACATTAAAAGAAGATGTCGGGAAGTTCCCAACCAAATCCAACTACTTGTAGTAAGATTTGTGTTAAAACATCAGCTACTCTATACAGGGAACAATTCTTAAATACAGCTTCAGATGTAAAAATGGCACACAGAATACGGTCAGTGCTCAGTAATACCTGCTTGCTTAAAGAACAAATTCATCATGTTTGCTACAAACCCTTGCAACTGGAGGGAAATGTTTCTGCTTGAGAATTATTAGCTGATTTTCATCCGAAGATACTTTACCACTACAACATGCCTCAGCACTCTATGTGCTCCACTATACCGGCTCAGTGAGAAGTCCAGCTGAACTTCTTGACTTACACTAAGGTAAGTATTACTTACGGGGCTGATAGTTTCTTAACTTCTTTCATGCTGAAGGACTTCAAGTACTGGTCGCTACTGAAATTGTTCAAGATAGTCCAGTTCATTTTGACTGGAACAGAGCCGGAGTCATTGATAAAAGCTGCTGGGCCAGCAGAGCTACGGACGTGAACCTTGGGCACAGGGCAGCAACAAACAGGAAAGGGTTAAGGACAGAAAAGCTGCAGCTGGCAGAACTGCAGCCAGCCAGGACACACCGCAGTCTCAGTTATTCAGCATCAGGAAGACCTATAACTCCAAGTGGTAAGGAGTGAGCTTGTGTCAAGATAGATGGCTTTTCCCAAAGTAACATTTTCCAGAGAAACAAATCTTATCATTAATATTTTCAATTTCTCATTTCCTCTTTTATTCCTGTTGGAATCCCTCATCCTTAAAATGGGATGAGACACTTCTGGGTTTTAAGTGTTTTGTGTTTAACAGCATGTGTGTTCTGTGGCTTAATTTATTTACCAAAAGCCCTAAACTATATTCAGTATTATCCATGCAGGAGCAGGAGTATACAGAGAGGTGGTGATTCCACTGAGACTTCTTTAGGTCACAGGGAGCCCTGAGACCAAACACACGCATTTCAGACACCTCGAGGTACCTTCCAACAACAACAACAACAACAACAACAACAACAACAACAACAACAACAACAAGAGACGGAGCCCGGAGACCAAGCACACGCATACCAGACACCTCGAGGTCCCTCCCAACAACAACAACAACAACAACAACAACAACAACAACAAAAGACCACCGAATTTAACAGTGTAACCCGGTTGGCCTTCATTCAGTTTCTCAACCCATCAATAACGTCAGCAAGAACTGATTGCTCTGCTACACACGGACAGGCACAAGAGCTAATCAGGAGCTCTGACCTTCCCCTGACAAATAGGAAGTTACTGATTAAAAACCCCCAAGTGTTTTAATGAAAAAGTATTAATTTCAACAGAAATCATAGGAAAAGCTGTTCAAAGATGAAATCTCTAGTGTGGGAGGAGTGAAATGAGACAGAAAAAAAGACAAGAACTTCCCAGAGCAGCCACTCGACAAGAGAAAAGCCATTTACTCTTGAGAAAAAGCGAGGGTTAAATCCCAGTCAGAGTCGTATCTAATCTAGAGGTCTATTGACTATTGAAAGTAGTGATCAACAGGAAAATAAACATTATCTCATTTCCCTTGGAAAATAAACATTATCTCATGTCCCTTGAAAAAACTCCCTTTTCAGACTGTCCCCTCTCAATATTGCAAATGTGAGTTTATCTTACTAATGAGTGTCAAAACAAATATGCACTGTAAGGAACTAAAGCAACAGGGAAAATGGGATTCTTTTTACTCATGAATTTCAAATAATCTTACAAAACAGATCTATAAACATGCTGAGTTGCCAGCTGATGCATTTGGAAGCCAAAACTGAACCACTGAGGAAGCAGAGAGAGACTTCCTCAGTGGCGGCATTCTCCACTTGATATTGCAGGACTCAGCTTTTTTGTAGCCTTGAAAGACAACGTCCTACCTACCGCTGCTATGACTAATCTCGGAGGCCACCAAGTTAGAACTAGCAGTTTATTGCTTTTGCCTCATGAGATGGCAATATAAAGCCAACCCACAAGCCACAGTGCTAAGCTGGAGAGAGGCCATCAGCTAAAGTTGGCCTTATATTCAATGAAGCTAACCCCTGCTTGGAGAGTGCAAACCCTGCTTTAAACCAGCTCGCTCCCTTTTCAGATTTACCTATAGTTTAAGAGCAAGAGGAGCCTAGCTACTAGGTGCTGAATGAAAGAATGATTAGTTCTTGTAGCCTTGACACGTATCTAATCTCAGCGTCCAGATAATGAAATTCAGCCATCTAGCAGCATCCCTGCAGGCTGCATCGCGCTAGCAGACCTTTGTCGTATTCTAGCACTACACAGCAGAACCACACAACGGTACTAAAGGAACATAACCTCCCAAAATGTTTCTTTTTCCTGCAATTAAATGGAATTGACAAGGCCTCTTCCCCTCATGCTGGCCCAGACAGACGTTCTACTAAACTACCTTCTAAAGAGTTATATTAGGAATTCTAGAATTACAATTAGTAATTCTCATTAAAGAGCTCATACAGCTAAAATATCTGAGATACCTTCTACCATCAAGGCATCCTTGTCACAAAAGCCAACAGAACATAGCCCAAACTCCCTAGAGTCCTGTTTTCCAAGTCAGTTACTAAACATTTTTCTGATTATGAGATTTTTTTTATATATAACTCATGTCCAGCACTATTTTGAGTATTTAACAGCTATACGATGCATACTTGAACAAATAGCTTGATAAAAACAAACACCTTGCTGAAAGCAAAGCCAAAGCAGTTTGTTAGCTTTTGATCTCCATGACTTAGTGAACTTAAGAAACATGGTATGAACTCTCTAACATCTATAAACAACGCATTTGCTGGCTAGCAGCCCTAGATTGTGGTTCACTGATTTAAATTTCTTGGCTTAAATACCTTTTCTTGATCAATGCTAGAGAATCTTTAATTTCCTAGTTTGAAATTAAAACTCAAAATTTAGAGTTGCCATCTCTCACCTAGACCAACAGAGTGCCAGGGGAAAAAAAAAAAAAAAAAAAAAATCACTTATTTAGCATGCTGGAAATTAAATGCAGGGAAACAAAAATTGTCCACATTATCCAAAACAGAAAAGGTAGTTTTCCAAGTTAGTCTGAGACCAGTATGACATGAATACCTGCAGAGGTAATAGAAGGAAAACAAATACAGAAAGAGAAGCTTGGAATTGAAAGGTTAATATAAACAAAAAAAAAATGCAAAGTGTAAATTCAAGGAAGGGAAAGAAAAGATTTAGAAAATAGTAAAAAATACATAAGCCTTTGAACAGCCATTTTGAATCATGGTATGGCAGGGCCTGAGAAATGCAGTTTGATTGTGGAATCTATTAGAAAGTAAATTTTGTGGTAAGAGAAAGTCAGGAGACTAATGGGACCTTGCTTGAATGTAAATTTTCTTTGGGAAAAGGCAGGACAGATCCCAACCAAAAAAAAAAAAAAAAAATTTGAGGTTAACTTCTCAGAAGGATCCCGAGGATACTGCCACAATTAGCATTTTACCAGTTACAATCAGGCCACTTCAGAAGAATAATATTAGTGGAAAGAAACCCCTCTTTAACCTGACATGGTACGATAGAGCAGGAAGGGAGCTCTCAAACCTTGTGAAAACGCTAAGGTTTCAGAAGTGAGAAATTGCAGGGAGACCTCAGCCACTTCCCCGTTTTTCTTCCCGGCAGTTACCACGGCGGCACCGCAGGCTCTGCTGCGTCCACCTTCCCGCTGGTCTCCTGGCCAAAGTACAACGAAAAACGCACTGCAGCGCATCTGTACCATTTGTGCTGTTTCATTCTGGTTATCGCCTTACACAATAGCTTTGTGTACATAGAGCTTTGGGTTGTGGGGCTCTTTTTCTTCTTCAATTAACCCCAAACAATTACTGTATTTTTGCTGCTGGCAGAAATTGTTAAGACTCCCCCTTTAAACTTGACTCTTACCTTCAAAGAACTGCTGCAAGGCCTCATTTTCTCCCACCACATCCATGAAAAGCCAGTAGAAGTGGTTTGCTTTCCTACTGCTTCAAGAGTCCCACTGAGAAAAACGCACTCTTCCAGATGATTATGAACATGCCAAGGAACACGTCATGCTTTTGTCGGAGGTTTCAATGGCTTTGTCCCAGCTGATTTCATTCCTTCATAAATAGCGCCAGGGCTATACTTAAACTCTGCTACACATAAAGGAGAATCTGACAAGGCTTTTGAGGCAAGGTGGTGATGTGCGTTCTTCCGTTCGGTATGCCTAATGCTCTTGTTTTAAGGACCTTTGGTCCCAGTACTAACCATAATTACACATGCGCAAAAACCGCGGCAATAAAAATTACTTATCTTGTCTCTGTACTTTCACACAGGTGATGCAATTAATACTACTGATGAAAGCAACAGTAATCAAAAAGGCAAGAGCAAAGCCATCACCGGTTTCACCATATGCACTATCCCATTTAAGCAGCTGACCATCAGACTATCCAATTGCTCTAAAAAAATTATCTCTCACAGCAGTTTGATTATAGGGAAGCAGAGCTTCTACATTATTGTTATTAACAAAACAAAATTACAGCTTAACCTGTTTGTCTAAGGTAACACTGAAAAACATAAGAGAAAGCTGAACATTGAACAAAGGTCTTTAAAAGCTTGTAGCAAACCCTATTTCACTTTCTTTAAATTGATCTTTGTACACTGAAAATGCCCCCTGTTCTGTCACCCCTAAACAAACAGGAGAAAAATATTCAGACATTTTGAGTAGGCATCTGTAGGAGACATTTGGTTGTGAATAAAAGCTTTGGCAAAGTCAAGAAGCCTGGAATAAGGCCATTTTCTGAAGTAGTTATATTCACCAGACAAGTAACTGTTGTGCAATTTTTACAAGCTCCAGACATTGACAGTGACACAGGTTTCTCATCATAGGCAGCTTACATTAAAAATACAGAAAATAATTTCAGGGAAGGGACTTGAAGATGGAAGAAAGCCGATGAGTATTTACAAGATGTTGATGGAATCGAGCCAAACAGTATTTACCACTGAGATACACTGGGTACATCCGTGTAGTCCCTAGTACAAGAAAAATCACGTCAGCATAAAACACTTCAGACACCATTTATGTCTTGGCACTATCATGTATAGAAAGGACTACTTCTCTCTGCTTGAATGAGCAACACTTGTAAAGGATTATTAAGTCAGAATAGCAGCAGCTACCAGCTATCATTTAACTACTGTTAGCTAATCCTGGAAATGGTTTGACTTCGTTAAATAAACTAAGGATTTACAATCATTTAGGAAGCATATATGAGCCTACCATAAAACATAATACCAACAAATACAGTTTGTTTTCTAAGAGTAAGTAAAACCAGACTTCCTTAGCATTACTGAAAGGATAAACAACCCTGTAACAATTTAAGGTAGAATTCTTCCACGTTTCTACAATAGGAAGCAGTACCCAGCGATAGGAGATTAATAAAAATAATTCGCCAGTACTGAAATAGCCCAGGCTGGACATACTCCATTACTAGTAAAATACTTAGATTCAATTGTTTGTTTTAACTTCGCATTGAAATGGCTGGTCAAAGCCAACACTTGCAAAGTGTTTTCAGGCACATACACATGCGAGCAACACAAATATGGTATTAAATTTCACTCCTCATGCTCATTCTATTTACTTCTGTAAAAATGGAGAACCCTCCAGTAAGACAGCGATGAACAGTGTTGGGTTTGTTCGGCATCAAACAAAAGAAATCCGGATCCACCGAGATGCTTCTTGTCAAAGAACCAACTATATAAACTTGCCTTTACTTCCAATGCTTGTCAGTTTACCTGCCAATGCTTTAATCTTAGCTGTAATTGATAAATGGCTGTCATGAGCAAGACCTAGTGTTTTTCCAAAAGGGCTTTTACAGAGCAAATCTACCACATACCTGCAACTATGTTCCTTGTAACCTAATCAACTGTCTGCTTTCAGCTTAGACTATGCCCAGGGAAAAAGGATCACTTGAACTTGCCGAAGTAGCACTTCAACTGAAAAAGCATCTTCCTTAAGAAGCCATGATCCTTTTTTGGGTTCTCTCTGCAGCAAGTCGTGTGTGTGAAGAAACTGATAACATTATATGGAAATTATCTTATTGAAATTATCATCAGTGTGTTAAAGAAATCACATAATGGATATTTTCCAGTTTCAAGGACAGCTGTGGGAAATTGGTGTATAAAACATTGGAAACTGGAAATCCCCAAAAAACCAGGAGGGAAACAAAAAATGATTTAAAGGAATGAAAAAATTCTAATGAAAGAAAATTAGAGGGGAAGAGAAATTTTTTATAGGGGTCAGAACAGATTTCTAACCAAAGAGTTTTCTAACCAAAGGTAATTTTATTGTTCCTTGATGTCTGAAAAGCACCCTCCTTTAGAGAGAAGATACCCAGATTTATTATGCTGTTGTATATGTATGTTTATATATATATATGTATATATATTTTGTATATATATGTTTATATATATCTTCGCTATGTATGTTTCTCTTCTTACGCTGTTTTAAAAATGAAAAATATAGGAAAGCAGTACTTCAAAGAATTCCAGGTTCTCCTAATTGGCTGTTAACTGTATTGGCATACATGCATAGAGAAGATACATACAAGTATCTAAACATTACAATGAAGAAAATGTCAGGCATTTATTCCCTCTTCATAAAATCATCTCAGTTTTACATTTTGAAATGACTTATCAGGGAGGTTCACATCATTCTGCATCACAAAGAAGAGAAGACAGACACTGCTTCAGACTAACACTTTAATCAGAAGTTTTGTTTTTAAATGTAAATTACAATCACTAATACACCTGCAAATGCTTACCACATTTGTTCAACTAAGTATTATACGTACGCATATACAGCATAGGTCAGTTTAAAACAATCACAGTACTTCTTAGTGCAATCTGCAAAAGGAGAAGATCTTGGACCCACTTTGTGGAAATAAATATCAAGTGACAAAAAAAAAGATTCAGCAATTTTAGTTATGTATATTCAATGAAGTTCATGCATACGCAAGAGTAAAAAGATTTAGAGCTCTTCCTTGTAATAGCCAAGTTTTGCTAGTGACATCTCTCTTCTCAGCTGCATAACTTCCCAGAACATCTGATCCACTAAAAAAAAAAAAGACAGAAATATCATTAAACATACTGAATTCATATTTTATTTCAACTGATATATACAGGCTGCCTCACTGTACGTCAGTTTAGGGGAACTTCAGAAGTAACAAACACCTAGTAAAACCAGAATTAATATGTGTGAGGACTATTTGTGCTTAGTTGTGACAAAATTTGTTAAAGCATTTATTTTAAAAATTCTAAATGATGGTCCCCAAATTTTAGATTTTTTTTTTAAATTGGAGAACAAAGATACATCAGTACTCATCAGCTTCAATTAGTTGCAGTTTCTCATTTTAATTGCCTTGCCCCTTGACTCATTTTCTGTAAAATCAAAAGACTACAAGAAGAAAGAAGTAGAACTTCTTGAATAAGAATTATTTCCTCACAGAACCTGTAATTTTGTTATAATTTTTCCATTTGTAATCTTTCTTCCTCCCTCGTCTTTCTGCCAGTAGTCTGCCAGCAACAATAAACTGGGGAGGAAAAAGACCTTTGTTTTATTTTCATCTGTATTTTACTAAACTTGATGAGCTTAGTGCCTACCTTAAGCTTCTAGAAGCCACAGCAATACAAAATAAAATTATTGAGTATATAATTATTCAAGACAAAAATTTCCATGCAGTCAAGATCATGATGTAGAATGGCTACAAAGATTATTAACCTGAGCAACGAGTACAAGGTCTTCCCTACCGTATTTCAAAAATCCACTTATGTAAAAGTGACCTCTGCCTCAAAAATTATATGGTGCTTGAGTAGAAATAGATGCAATGCATTATGCAGAAAATTATCATGAGTGCCTACATTCTTTAAAGGTATTGTTGAAATATTTATATACAGCTACAAATGCAAGTGCTATGTTTTTAATGGTAAAGATGACAACTGAGCTGAAACACCAAATTGAAGTTTTTTTTCAAAACTTCTTGTGAAGAATAAATAATTCTGGTAATGCTGAAAATATTTCATTATTTGATGGAAAAAATATTAACTTAATTTTTTTATCTCAATAGCAAAGTAAACAATTTTTAGTTGAAACTATATAGATCCTTTTGGTCAAAATAATAGCCTTTTAACTATAAACCAAATTAAAACTTAAACAACATTTTCAAGATCTTCTGCAATGCTAGTAAATCAGTAAAATTTACCACCATCTGAAGGTTTTATTAAACATAATTTAGTGTACGAAATAGATGAATTTCTGGTGAATTCCATGAAAATAATTCCCTTTGACAAGGAAAGTTTAACAGCATTATTTTGTGTAAGGAACAGTCTCTCTATTTATCACCTCAGGAATACTTCAGGTTAGAAATGGAAACAAAAGATTTGGGTGCAGCTAAAATACTGAGCTCTTGAAATTGGGAAACATCAGAAGACATGACTACAGATGAAGCAGATCAAAGTGGGGCTAATTCTAGCCAAATTCTGTATGAAGCCAATCCCCGCAGACTCGAAGACTGGAAGAATGAAAAGCACAGGCATCCATAAAGATCACAAAGCTGTTCTACTCTACGTTCAAAAATGCTACTGAACTAAAAAAAAAAAATAAATAAATGTTTAAAGTGAAAGCAATTTTTTTTAATTAAATATTGACACAGGGCTAATGACACTTTTTCTACTATCTGTGCTTAGCAAATCCAAGAGCCTAAGTGATACGGTCTGTTTCAAAAAAACCTTGAACTGAAGGCTGTTGAGCAATATTCTTTGACCTGGACAGGAAATACAATTAAATCAATTGTGTACAGTTTAAACATAATCAAATCATCATAATTTTCTTTTATAATGATAAACAGGTAAAACAGTCTTGCAAATGAAAACTACAACTCCAACATGGAATATATTTTTAAATTCCAGAATTAAGTAACTAGGTGTACGGTGCGTACATTTTCATAATGATCTTCTTTTATATGGACATAGCGAAACTGAATAGCATAGTTAAGCAAATTTCTGAATTACTGCACAGAGTTTAAATAGGCAGGTGTTGGATATGCTATTCTGACAGGAACAAAGTGACCATGTAACTCTGGTGGGCAGAAAAAAAACAAAACAAAACAAAACAGCCTGAAACAATGGCAGTAAAAAACACATTTCCTTTTGGGGTGTGGGGTAATCAAGCCTTACATTGTCAGATACATTTATAACCAGAGCCCTAATCAAGAGACTTCGCTATGCCACAGCAATGACCAAGACCTCATTTCTCAGCTGCACTCAGATGAACGATTACAGTATGGTTTCCTGTCTATTTTTTTACAATTTAACCCAAAATATTGTCATCCTTGCCAGTTCTCCCTGAAACACAGTCTCAATTCTCAATGCACCAAATGAGATGACGCACCAAAACACCAAGTGAAAGAAGAAAAAAATGGCCCAGATCAAACCAAACTGAAGTTTTTTTGGTCTAAAGGATCTCCATATTCTGTGAAAGAGCCTTGATTTTTTAATACTGTGTTGAAAAAACATGACAACACCCCCTTGTTAAATAATTTTTCATAACATTTCTTACTGAATGACATAAGGGATTTTTAGATGGACTAAAAATCACTTCTTTTAAATTTGTTGTTCTTAAAAAAAAAAACAACAAAATAAACACCTTTATTGGAGGGTGGGATATCACCAAATTCTGGTAATTACAACAATGACTACTAGCAGATAGCAAGTTTTAGGCACATGCACTATGTAAATTGCTATTTATATATGCCAAATACAATTTCCTACTCACCATCTTGCTGCTTCAAGAGTCCTTGCTGGATGTATCGAATATATGTAAAGAAGTTACACACAGAAGTGATCTGAACCCATAGAAAAAGAATATCATTTAATATCATTTTGTATAATGGTATGGAAAAATAAACTAAATTACTAATACTCAAAATGAAATCACAGTAAATCTACTTACCCTGTAACGACAGAAAGGAGAAATGTAGTAATAACTGCTTGAATCTCCTAATTTGATTCTATGCTTGCATGACTTACTTTGTCCACTGAGAGCACATTTCCTACAAAATACAAAGTTTGCATGACTTAATAAACAAATTTGACATCAATGTCTGAACACCTGCATGTGTTTAAGGTGTTAATGTAATTGCTTCGTATTGGCACAGATACCAGAGTCTCTGCCTTCATTTTACACGTTGCAATTATTACATTATGTTGTCAATTATTTTAATTCCACAAGGACTAATTTTGTTTCAATACCAGTACATCGTGATGCATTTCTGATTTTTAAAACTTTCTCCAGCTCTGGTCATGTACTTCCATATTCACTAATTCAAGCTGGCTTGACAACTCTGGAATGGTGGGATTTCTTTAATTAACTCTTCATATGTGAAATAAATATTGTTTAAATTAGCAGTTAATGCCAACATTTAAACAGATTTTTTAAAAATTCTGCTTGATGTTGCATTTCACCGTAAAAAATATCAACCCGACAGAACAGCAGTCAATTCTCTGAAGCCTCTCTCAGATGTGTTCTAAGACCAGCTTTGCATTTATGCCCAAACTGAAATAATGTTTTATATTCAGTATAAAATAACTTGACGCAAAGGGAAATAGGCTGTCTGGCAATAATTCTTTCCATTACCATTATAAAAAGCAATAGTAAAATAAACATATTTACTACTTCTGGTGTATTGCAAGCGTGTCTTATTCAAGAACAAGGAAAGGTCAGTAGTCTCCACAAATTCTTCTCAAAAAAAAAAAAAAACAATTCAGGAAAAGGCAATGAATTTTTTAAAAATTCCTCCAACATTCTTTAGAAAAAGAAGGTTTGAATCTCTTGAAGAAACTGCTATTAACACAATCTTAATAAATGTAAATAAAACGGGAATTTGATTTATTTGGAATTTCTGTATCGCAGCATCTCAGATGAACTGGGTTGTCATGGCATCCACTGTTTCATTGATTTTAAAAACTGCTGGCTCTTCTCCCTTCCATTTCTACCTCACAAAATTAGGGAGTCTAAGAACAAGCAGCCTTTCAAAACTGAAACAAAAATTACTAAGCTTCTGTGGTTCTAAACAGTGGCTCAGAGGCCCTTTTAAATAGCCTGCGGCTGGTCTACAGAACCATGTAAGACAGGAGAAAACTGAAGAGTGCATATGATTTTCCATAGCAATTTATGAGGACTGACAGAAGTCCATTGATCCAAGAAATCCTACCGTAGCTGAAGCAAACTGATCGCAGTTACAGTCAAGCTTTTGTGAGAAGACAGACAGACTTTCAATGCTAGGAAAATAAAGCCCTTTTTTCCTTCTGGCTATAGAATTACTTTCTATATGTTATCTTCTATCACACCAGGTTAAATACTGGCATGATGGTTACTACTAATGACTCAGTTCTGCGCTGTATGGCACACATGCAGCTTAGCGCTTTGTTCCCCATGGGGACAATTATTCGAATCCTGTGGGGAAACCCAGCTGTCTTTTGTTAAGGCAGCACTTAATACACACCATCACAGGCACCATTCAATAACTTCTGTATATCAAGAACCTTTCTTCACTATTATCCCAGCTCTCCACCCTCCACTCCTTATTTTGCTGTTGGGCTATTACCTGCTATTCTACACGCCTGTTCCCCCATCCCCCAGGCAACTGTACAATAAAATAATTCCTTTAAAAACATGACTTTCATTTTTGTTATTATTTATTTACAGTTTGTCTATATTTTGTTACCTATTTAAGAACACTGTTTCAATAAAAATAGTGCTTTGCACCATATAAAAATAAAAAATGAAACTGAATTCAGTGAAAACTGGAACACCTGTTTCCCATTCAGTGCCAGTAATCATATATAAGGCAAAGCACATTTGCTGTCAAATTACACTTAAATACTGTATATTGCGTTTTGTTGCTACCTGACAGCGGGAAAAGGGAGAAAGGAGTACGCCTGGCCTTCTAATACATCTAAAGTAACTAAATTACAATTTGTGCATAGTCATCACAAAGCATTAATCTATAGCTAGCCAACTATTTAAGGATCACATGAGTTCTAAATAAAAATTTATCTTACACTGGAAAAAATAGGTTAAAAAACTCATGAAACTTCTGAATGATACCGTCAAGTCTCCCGTTTCTGAGTAAATATTTCATCATGTCAAGACGCAGGGAAGTTGCTTGAACCACAATGATTTTAAATCAATTTGCCAATTGCTCGTTAATGACACATGACTTGTTTCAGTAGCTTCTGGCTATCCAGATTCTCGATTGCATTCACGGAATGCAGCTCTCAGTGGTGTACCTTGGACTTGAAATCACCACCCCTTGAGTAGCTCCATTATCAGTGGTGGGCCCTTCTGATGAGGGGCTGTTACAGCTCAAAGAGTGTGTTTTCTGGTGACAGAAGTAAACTGAAGAATATACGAACGCCTGAATTTTGTAGGCTAGAAAGGATCAAATACTAAGTCATAAAACACAATTTCCATTTTATATAGCTTCTTTAAAGAGAAAGTAAAAAATTTTGAAATATGTTAAATGTATTTTCTCTTCCACTTAAAAACAGAGGAAAAACAACAACTAAAAACCAACAGTGATGAGAAATTTAAAAAAAAAAAAAAATCTTAAGAGCCAGATGACATACTCTAAAGCACACTACAAATCCCTTCCTTCTCCTCCACATCCACCAAAGCCCCAGTGCCTCAGGCAAGTCCCTCCCACCTAACTCTAATGTCTATATCAGTACTTGACAAGAAGTCTTGCTTCCGATTCCTCTAGGACCATTCCAAAATTTCTAAAATAACGTTCCTGTCATTCAAGCATACTTCCTGCTTTAGGTCCAGACTCACCTTTACCTTCATTCCCGCTTCATTACATTCCTCCTGCTCAAATTCAGAGGATCCAGTCTATATATTTCCTCTCAAATCCTTCAGCTACCTTTGTCAGTGTGCTATGTATGTCCTAAATTTCTTATGCCACAAATACTCCAGATGCCCGATATTCAGCCTATACTACTTCAATACCTATTTCTTTCACGAGGCGTGACAGGCCCTAGTTCAAAAGCATCTGTTTTAAGTACCAGGATGGACTTCTCCAAAAAAGTGAATGCTACTTTTGCAATCAATGCATCATAAGTGAAGTAAACAGCTCTTTTAAAAAGGGAATTTGTCTTAAAGGTTTGTTCTATATTAGTCTTTTCTGAAGTCTAATTTCTTAGTTGCTTACTTTCCCCATAAAATTTTGTAACAGCAATGTTGAAGTCTTAGATTTTAAGGAATAATGTTTAAAATACACAAATTTGACTGAGGTGATCAGTTGACAGCAGTTCTCAATCCAAGAGTTATCTCAAATGAGTCAAGATTCCCCCTCTGTCTGTTAGCTTAACATACTTTGGTCCCCCACATTCAACTGCAGAAGCTTTCACAAATCGAACAGGTTGCAAGCCAACAGGTTCAATGCTCAGAGTGTTGTTTTCAACAGCTTCCAGAACAGCTGAGGCCAACTGCAAGAGAAATTTAGAAAGCAGTTAAAAACAGCTCTGCATTACCCATTGCCTCAAAGCAGTGACATATTTCTTCTGTAATGTTAGGAACACCAAAAAAAAAAAAAAAAAAAAAAAAAAAAAAAAAAAAAAAAAAATCAAGTCACCAAACAGATATTCAATTACAAATGATATTTTGCTTTCATTGTGAGCAAGAGGTCCCATTTCCAGGCTCCTGTTTAAATTCTGCCCTCCAAATAACCCTGCCCTCCCTGAGGCAAGATAACTGCCTTTACAGCCAGGAATGTAGTCAAGCATGTTTAAAATGCTAACTGTACTTTCAGTCATTCCTCATAAGCCCAAATAGCACATACATTTGTATATGCAGTGTGCTTGTCACAGACCAGACACGGCACAAACTTTGTTTATTGAAAAAAAAAGTTCTAATTTTATTCTCTTCTATGGAAACACAAAATGATGCAGCATGATTCCTTAATCTTGCAAAAAAACAAGTAAATATTATGTCACTGTTTTTCAGCCAAAGATAGCTTTAGAAAGGTGTTCAAACAAGTAAGACTGAACAATATACAGAAAAGCCAACATAATACATAGAAAAGCCAGTTGCCACTTTCAAACACTAGTCTAGTTAAAACATCTTCATGAAACAAAGCGCAACTTTGCTCAGGCTTTTTATGTGAATTGTTTATAAACACACAATCATAAGCCACTAGAAATACGTTCATTTTGCTTGATTGGACTCATCACTTGCCCAAGACTACTGTTTAAGTATGGACAAGTAATAGCCATTACTTGATTTAAAAGAAGGTGCAATTTATGTTATTAGTTAAATAATTGTGTGCCAAGGTTCCTTCCTACTGAGTAATAAAGATATTTTTCTACTGTACTTTGTATATTTTAAAAAGAGAATGTTACTATTGAAGTAGTTAATACGAAATACTCTCTCTGCCATCTCCCAAAAGCAAAACGCTACACATATACACAAGAGGCTACTGAGCGTTAATGTAATACTTCAGCCATTCAGATAACTGCATTTCCAATTATTCAAAAACACAATACACATGTAGTTTATTGTTTGGTTTAACTGCACATTAGTTTATCAATATTCAAGTGAAAACAGAAGTTGGTGACTATGCGTAGCATCTGGAAACAATAACGGATATAACTGGCAAGTGCTAGAAGCTTCATTCTTTCCTTAAGAGGAAATACAAATCTACAGTAATTATATCACCACTGAAACAGAAAAAAAACGAAGTTGCTGGGAAAGACAACAGGATGGCCTACTTACACATACGGCAGAAGCAATTTAATTCCCATAGTAACCAAGTAAACTTTTTAGTGGCAGAGGTTCATATGATGCTGTACACCAACCATAATGAACTGGTATACCATTAACTAAAAGATCATGCGTGCTTATGGCCAGCAAGTAACAGTAAATGAAAAGCATGGGAAAAGAACATAACACCACACAAAAACAACAGATAAACATTATGAAGAAAATACAGCATTTTCCATGAGAGGTGTTTAATTGGGGGGAGGGAATATCAAGTCTGAGGGCTTTAAAATTTGTTATTCTTATTTTAATAAAGATCTAAGAATATGGTCACTTTCCCCTAGAGACTGATATCCCAACTACAGCCTCTAAATGCTGCTTAAGAACAAAAACTAAGTAAAGCAGTTAGAGCTGGAATCAATTCCACATTATTTCCAGGATGGGTAAAACTCCAGTCTTTCCTCTGTATGGCAGTGGGAATAACACAAGGAAAAAAAACCTCTCAATTTGTTTCATCTAAAACCATATTCCCAAACTGCCCCTGTTGAATCACATCAAATCCCCAAGTCTAATTCTTGTACCTCAAACCTCTCTTCAAGAAAACACCCAGAACTGTGCTTGCAGCCTGCTCTGATTGATATGAGAGAAAACTGGTCCACAAAATTAAATATATTGGTCTCTACTGCCCCCTATATAAACAAGAGACAGTGACAGGACACTATTTCTACAAAACCGTATCTTTGAAGTATCAGGAAAAAAACCACCATCCATTTCTACAAACATCAGATTCTGCCAGATAGGAGTAACATCTGAAGGAGCAGACCTAAAAAGGCCGTATCTGGAATACCATAAATGAAACAGTGAAGGAAAAATGATCATTTAAATACTCCAGACTAAACTTCAGCACTTCACTGTAAAATGTCACACTCTAATGAAACAGAAATGGTTAAACTTCACATGAAAACATTTTTAATATGGTCTATTGGCTTCATGTAACATATTTAAGGGACAAAAGTCAGTGACCACATTTAGCCTATTTCCATTACCTCACTTTTTGAGAAGGTTAAACATGGAAAAATATCTTCCCGATAAATTTTGTCCAAGAAAGGACACGTTCTGTCCATAGTAGGCTCATCCTTCCAAGATCTGAATTCATTGTACAAAGATAGGTCAGCCTAGAACACACACAAAGATTCACATATTTTAGTACTGCAATTATCACACTAGTGTCTATCATTTGCAACTATCCACAGGTAAGTCATGAGCATTAAAACTAAATGCTTTCCATCGCACTGTGAAAAAATGCTATCGTGCCCCAGCTATGAACACCTTCTTAAATTCACTTTCCCAAGACTGTAAATATAAGCAAATCAAAACATATCATTTTCAAGACACAGAGGTAATGCATTGACTGGTCACCACAACACCAGGGACAAGCTAACTACCTCTCCCCCATTTTATAAACTTCCAGGATAGCTTTGAAAAACTTAACTATTGTTTAACAGAAAAAAGCCAAAAAATCATTTTCTTCTTGTTGCATCTTCATTACAGTATTTAACTCCACCTCCATTTCTGCGAGTCACAGAAAAGTAGAGAAACCTAAAGAAAACAACTGCAATCCTAGACATCTTATACATTCACCCTGCATCTGAATATAACACACTGCTATCCGACCACTAAAAGAAAATAGACATCTAACACACTAAATACACTGACACAGGAAAACAGGAACTGAATATACAAATCAATTAAAACTATACTTTTTTCTTCATTTTTCATCTTTATTCTCAAACTCTCTCCTACACCGTGCTACAAGAGGAAGGCAAGAATATTCACTGGGCATGATTTATGAGCCTGCTCCCCCACAGCTCCTCTAGTCAATGCAAAAATACTAAAACAATCCATTAAATCATACTAGGAATAAGCACGCTCTGCATTAGGAAGAGATTGTTTTATCTGCTTTGAAAACACCTTGTTTTGTCATCGCCATGTTGAGATCAGTTTAGCAGCAAGAAGGCACCTATCCAGTCTGGTGTTCAGGAGACTGGTACTAGGTCGCTATTAAAATCCATGTTTGTGTTCTGGGACAGCCTGTCCCATGGGCTGGCTACCCACTAACAGCTGGAGCACAGTGAGGTACTCCCAGAGCACATCATCTAGTTTTGCGTTACTTGAGAAGGATCCTGTTCACAGGCACCGACGCTGCTCCAAGACGCGAATCAAGCAGAGTGGGGGTGAGTGCTTCCGATGCATGCTCCTAATCCAATGTAAAAGACTAATATGCCAGTCCCCAACGGGATATGCAACACCATCTTGCTCCTCAGATGCAACACCATCCTCAGACTGGTTTTGACATTCTGCTGACACAGACTTCAGCACCTTTCCCCTCCAACTGGTTGTAAAATCCCTTTCTTGTACTATAGCAGACCTATACTCCTAAAACCCAAACCTAAAGCTACAGGAAGGGATGTATGCTGCAGGCCAAAGATAAGCCAGGATGTGATTTTAAAAATTCTGTAATATTAAAAATAAATAATATAGATGAGATAATGAAAGAGGGAAAATAACATATGCTAAAAATTAAAATAATTTATTTTTAATCCTATTAAAAAGATTAGTACACTGCTTTGAACCAACCTCTTTCAGTCTTTTGTTCTTTCCCCATGCGTTACCCCTTCTCTGAGCTCCCAGTACTTTGCCATTCTTTTATACATATATTTTTGGGGAGTTATTTTGTTATTTTTTTTGTTTTCCTTGAAAAAGAACCTACAAAAATTAGACTGGCAAATTTGTTTTCCATTAGAGCTACTTGCCTTACACTCAGGTACAATCAAGAACAACCATCTTAATTAAGCTAGTCCATAAATGTTCTGGTTGCTAAGCCACCAACCTCATTGTATAAATGAAATTCAATAGGTGTAACTTGCTCCCTAAAGGAACACTTCCCACACCTTAAAACCCATCTCAGGTCTGGCTTTAAAATGAATACAATCAAGAGATATCAGCAGAAAAAAGCCGTTTTTGATTTGCACTATATGATTCTAAAAATTAAGATGCATTTCTTATTAACTCAGTTATTTTCTAGATTTAACTCAATTTCACCCAAACTTGCAATTTATAAAGAAGCTGCCTTGAAAAAACTGCTCAGTGAATGCAGCTCGATGCTCTTCCTTTCCAGTCTACACTGTGTGCTACACGTGTATCTCCCCCCGCCTTTATTTGCTCTTTCACTAGATCAAAGTTTTGATTACCTTCAATTAAATATACAGCCATTTGTAATAACAATTACAGTTAAATTTTTAATGCTTTCATTTTACAGTAAAATACAACATCAGAGAAACACGTCAGCTCTTTGAACAACACTGATGCATTTATCAGCATTTACGCTGAGCGGATGCTACCTGCCTGCCTAAGATCCAGGCAGCTGCCTAGCTTGCCTAAATCCTGTTAATACCTAAATTAATTAGACATGTCTACTTATCCTAGAGGTTACTCCCACATGCTAAGAAGTATTTCTCTGGGATGTTGGCACCTTTCTGGTCCACTGCAATTTAGGGTAGACAGCCAGCCACTCTAACTCTGTCTACGTTCCACAAAGAAAGCTGAGAGTTGACATGTATTTACACCCAGCTCCATCCAACATCTCAAAATGCACATCTCGGGGTGGTAGACTCCCTTTAAGGGTCCAAAGCTATATTCCCCACACCGCAAGGCCACTAGATACCCCTGAGCAAGGGTAATCTCAGCCCCCCCTTTTGAAGCCAAGTCACTCAAAATCAGAAGAACGACATGCAAAGAGTAACCTAACTCAGTGGCACGAACATTCAGCAAGAAGGGGGCAGAACTAGGGTTTCAGACCCAGCTCCCAGAAATGCAAGAACATTTACCTTAGAGCAACAATAAACAAAAAAAGTAAACAAAACCACAGAGCATTGGATAATGAAAGCAGTAGGGAAGGCATGTCTCCCGCGCTTAAAACAATCTCCTAACCACCTTGCCAGAGGCAGTCTTGCTTTCTTCACGCAATGGTACACTCCATTAAATATTCCTGCTCAGAAGAGAAATAGACAGACTCAAGTCCCAATGGGTGGAGAATCCGTGTGTTTCTTACTGATTCCCTGGGCTGTCACTGGAAGAAACAGTCACCTGTTTTGAGTAGCCTTGATCAAAGTGTCTCCTTATGCAGCCAACAGAAAGGAGACTGAACTAAAGAAAAATGTCAGGCAGATAACCTTCTGCAGCATGTCCTTCACATTCACCACTTTCTCTCCCCAAGAAATTGAGGCAAAACAGATTTCTCCCCTCTCCCGCTCTTGCCCGATACTTAAAAATTTCATTGAGTCATGACCTCAGTGTGATGCTTACAAAGTAACTGGATTCCATCCCAGCTCTCCTCTTTCGTTTGCATCTTTCTGAAGAGCAACAAGGATTCAATTTTAATAAGTAAAACATCCTGGACACCACTGAAAGTGGGCAGGCAGGATGTAAAGCTTTTTTTTTTAAGCCCAAGTATGAAACAGAAACCGGAAAATGCCTTTATTTTCTAGATTTATAGTAAAAAGGTGTATAGTATAAATGCACTTAATGATGACTGGCAAAACAAAGTATAAAAATGGCCACTGTAAATCACATTAAAGTTCCAGTTAGCCTGTTACCCCTCTGACAGTGGCCAGCAGCCACAGAGCTGGTAGAGAGCAGTACGAGAGGAAAGACAGCGATGTGCCTTCATTTTACAGCCTCCCAACTCCTAGCAATCTGTAGTTAAAGAAGCTTCCTAAGCCAAATGTCATATCTATCTTCTCTTTTGTCACTTTGCATGACTACATTTTGAACACATTTATATTTTTAATCTCGCTACCTCGTGACAATGACTTGTAAAGTTTCATTATGTACTGACTGAAAATTATCTTCCTTTTAGCTTCCAGAGTTTTCTTATTACAAGAAATCACTAATATTCGTTTGCTAATCATCTTCCCCATGTCACCTCTGATTGTACTGATTTTTGTTCTGCCTCAAGTGTCTCTCTACATAGAAATACTTCCATAGGTTTGACCACCTATGTCACACTTCCTCGTATTTTCATTATGTCCTTTCTGAGATGAAGGTGTCATAGCTGCATGCATAGACACACGCATCTACTACATGTGTATACAGCAGCGTAGTTCTTTTTCTTTTGCTATTTATTCCTTTCCTAAAAGGAATATTTATTCCTTTTCTAAGGCTCGGTGCGTCTTTGACCACCACTGAGCACTGAGATGGTGTTTTCACAGAACTATCCACAAGTACACTACTTTTTTTTTCCCCCGGCACAATGTAGCTATTTCTAAGTCCACAACTGCATGTGTGCTAGAGTTGCATTTTTTCCTAGATGCCTCATTTCTCATTTACTTATTTTGAATTTCATCTGCTGTTCTATGAAAGGTCACTTTTTGCTACTACCATTCCAAGGACTCGAGCACCAACCTGTTGCCTCATTATTGCCCCATTTTCAATTACCTGAATAGATAAAAAAAAACCCCTCACAGGCGCCTCTGGGACTCCAGTGGTAATTCTCCTCCTGTTCTCTAATAAATCATTGATTCTGTCTTTTCCTTGGCCTCTTTCACCCATTATTGATCTATAAAATGACTCTTCTTCTTTTCTATGACAGTTTATGAGACATTTATGAAAGTTTATGAACTTTCGGTGATGGACTTTGTAAAAAACCACCAGGACTTATCATTCAGTTATACTGTATTTTTCTTTTTTTTTTTTTTTTTTTTAATTTTTTAAATTCCCATCTTTAAATTATTGATTCCAGTATTTAAAATCTTATCTCATCTTCCCTTAATGATTTAATATATACTAGATTTACTGTGGGTAAAACAAAACAATAAAGCCAGCTTATCAGCAAAAAGATGACAATCTTTGTACTGTTACCTCTTTACAGTCTTTTACAATTGGCTGCATCATGGTAAGGTCCTGATGACTGCCACCCATAGCACTGCTTGTACTCTTGTTTCTTGCATGGCCTTTCTTAAAAGGAGTTTTTCCAGTAGACTGAAACTCCTTAGTTGGAGATGTCGGTGAAGTAGACAGTACTAGTGTTTTCAATGCTGCTACTTCAGCCTGGAGGACATCAATCTTGGGGGGGGGGGGGGGTGAGGAATAAAGTCATTAACAAAACAGAAATACCATATTAGGCTATGAATATGTTAAATCATTTTAAAAAGTTTCCAGTTATGTTGGTTCAAATTAAGACTTCATCTTCCAACAGTACTGACACACAGGTGCCTATGCAATTGCATACTGTAGTAACCTTGCAAGCTATCTGATCTGATGCTGAAACACCAGCTCTGTGCCCACAGGTGTTAGCTAAGAATACGTCAAGGCAACACAAAACGACTTAGTATATATTTTAATATTGCATACAGGTAATGCTCTATTTACATCTTTATGATCCACACTTTAGATTTATAACCATGTGAAAAGACAAAGCAAGCAAGTTGGAAAAAACTCACCTTTCCCTGTGCTTCTTTTAACTGTTTTTCTGCTGCAGCTTGTTTGACGTTAGCTTCTTTAACCATTTTGTGTGCTTCCTATAAAAAAATGTTTAGCTAGTGTAAATGCTTCACACAAATTTACAAGATCCAGTAAAAACAAACAAACAAAAAAAACCCACAAAAAAACCCCACACCTAAGGACATACTTTCGCTTCATGGAGACTACTTGTGAATAGTAAGTTGTGCAACAATCTGAAATTAAATAGTTACATACCAAAAAATACCTACAAATCTATCATTTGGATTCATCACTGGCCCACCAAGTTTCTTCTCCTTGGTCCTGAGCCCAGATTCAGGAATTCAGCAACTCTACCCATCCCCCTCCATCAGGAACTATACCTGTCACGGACGCCAGGCTCCAGTCACGCTTCGGTGGCTGACAAGTCAAGTTCCTTGACCCCCAAGAGAAAGACTCAACCCGTAGCAACAAAAGCAACATGAGCACAGTAGCGCATTCAAAAGAACTTCTCCCTTCTTCTAGCCAGAATAACCAGTTATAGTCAATTGTAAATTTCTGCATGAAGGAACCGGTCAAACAACTATGAAGTTTAAATTCTTACCATCAATAAAACAGACAAAGCAACAGCATAAAATAGTTATTGGATTAATAAGCATTTCTTAAGTAGAACAGAAAAAGCACTAAAAAACAACCCAAGTAAAGAAATAAGGCTAAGCCAATAAAGAAGAAAGAGTAAAAGGACTGGGAATTTTTTTAAACATCCTTTTACCTCATACCTCTAAGCCTTTTGTCTGCATAATGTATTTGTTTAGGCTCTGATCCAGCAATTTGCACCTGTGATCAAATTACTGTTCTTACTTGGTACTTACTGAGGGCAACAAAGATTGAAAGATCAGGGCCACCCATTAAATTACTTGGAATAGGATCCTTCTCATATCTGTAAAGCGCCTAGCACATATCGGGACGCTATATAAATAAAACAAAAATGTTCATACATCATCATACCAAAAGATCTGGCTCCCACTGGCATAGAACACAGCTGTATAATATGGGTTTGTAAAATTCTCTTAAGTAACAACAGACACATGCAGGAATGGGAACATACACATTAATACAATGTGTACAAATACATTTAACATTGACCATGCAGTTTCTGCTTAATGATGCACCTTTGAAAGCGAAGCATATTACAGGGCTATTACACTGTAATAATGTAATATATGCACCCAGCTGTGGCAAAACAACTCTCGATCCTCCATTGGGATGCATTAAAATAAGCTCCAGCATATCCACTTATACGGTCACTGAAATTAGTGGGATTCAGAACAGAAAGTGAATTCAAGGGCTGGAGATCACAGTGTAAAAAATCAAGAAAACCTCAACACTGTGTTTTGTTAGGGCCTCTTAGTGCAATCAAATCACAAAAGAAAATTCAAGTGACATGCCCACAACAGCTGGGAGTTCTGAATAATTAAAACTCAAACAATTATTACTAGTACACTCTATGTCAAACATAGCTTTAACAAATTGATAACTTTGTTCTAAGTTACAAAGTGTCATTAATATAAAATTTCATTGATAATTTTATTTTTATTCCTCTACAGTTAAAAGCCCCACATTTTCCTCCCCCCGCAATATACACAAGTATTTATACTGAAAAGTAACTTTCTAATCTTCCATTTATTCTCTACACACAGGAACTGCTTAATATTTTAAGTAACTTTGCCGGACCGGGATGATGAAATACAATGCGTTGCCAACTCACAGAGCAGTTTGTAATTTGATTTTTGAATGTCAGTATTTTCAAGGTTTTAATAGCACTTTTATATCAATACAACATCACCAGTTTAAATACTGTTTCTAAAACATACCTAATGTTGTATCTTTATGCATATGCTGAAAACCAATACTTACGATTTGGTAAACATATAAATCATCTCCGGATTATTACATTTATTCTGACAGTTATGGGTATCACAATTTAGCCTCTAGGCATTCCTATATATATTCCTACAATAAAATGAGAACTGATCCTCCTTGAAGTATGGATTTAAGATTTTTTTTCTGGGTAATACAAGTGCACAATCTTTGCTGGCACTACTGCCATATTCTCAAATGAAAAGGTCCCACTTAAAGTTCAGGCTTCTCACTTGGTAACCAGGTCCCACCCTGGTGCATCACTCAGTATTAATGTTTCTGTTCAAGTTTGTGGGAGTAGCATGCTGCCAGACCCAAAATTCAAAAGCTGAAAGCATGGTTAAGTTATGTACTTGCTTCCTCCATTCATCTGGAACTACGTTATTTTTTTATTTAGTCACCATGGCAACCCCAAATTTAGCTCTTATCTAGATAGCCTTGTTGTCAGACAGAGAAGCTGTCTCAAAATAGTTATGCCGAAAAATAAGCCTAAATAGTTTTAAGCTGTCTGATATATTTCCCTTATTTTCTTTGGTTTGTGACTAGGCAGATTGACAAGCTCAACAAGGTCTCTTTCATCTAAGTGAAAAGTCTACTGCTCTTAAGTCTCTACATCAACACACCCGGGTCTTCAGGACACAAATCCCTTTACAAGGTTATTGCAGAAAAATTCAGCATACAATATACTGACTCTACATAAAACATCTGGCTCATCTTCCCTTAAGTATATCACATCGAAGACTCCAACAAACCTCAAACAGACTAGCTGTAAGTTCTTCCAATTCCTGTCCAAGTTGATCTCGCACTTTAGAAAGCCTTTCACATTCTTCATCTTTTAACTTCAGCTCCTATGGAAAATTGAAAGTTATTTATTCTGACTTAGAGTAGTAATTTGGCCTTTTAAAGCTAATACCACAGAGAGAGGGGAGAAAAAGAAAAAAAATAGAGGAACATAAAACCTTGGCTAAACAAAGCCTTTCAAAATATTACTCTTAACACTACAAGTAATTAAATTAATGCTGCACATACATATAGCTATTCTTCCTGACATACAGCAATATACCAGGCCAATCTAAAGTATCTCTAACCTAGACATCAGCATGTCCAAAATTGCCTTAAGTAAAAAAAGGTTTTTTCCTGAAAGTATAGAAGACTTAAGTCACTTAAAATATAGATCCAATTAATTATTGGGACAGACAGAATACCAGTTCTGTTTACCCATTTCTTAATAGACACTTAAAGAAAGTAATCTTTAAAAAAAAAAAAAATCAAAAAAAGCTTTGTCTCAAGACAATCCCCAATTCTAAAAGAATCTTAAAGCATATTTTACCATAAATTGCCTCCTGCATATCTCCTTAAAACTAACACAATTCCAAAATCATACTGTAATTATATCCTTGCTCTTGTTTATGCAGATATATAAATCAAATTAAAGCAACTTAATGAAATTCAAAGTGTTATTTGTCTACATCACTAAAATTTGAGCGAGGAAGGCCTGACCATACCACTTTTACAGTAAGATTTTAACATAGATTTGGCAGTATAAGCATTACACATGCCCAATCTCATCTGTATTGTCCTAAGTCTGAGGCAAAAGTGGCGTAATTTGCAGAGAAGTACAAAAAGTTCAACAAGGAATTTGAAAGAAGAGTTCCTCTCCCCTTTCCCAACCATTAAACCCTGGAATCTCTTGCAAGAAAGACAACGATGGAAAGAAAAAGTAAGGGAAAGAAGAGCAGCAGACAGCCCACTCTGACCTTTCAAGCATTTTTTTCTGGCCATAAGTCCCCTCTCATCCCCACCTAGTTCTTCCTTCTCTTCTTTTCCCCCTGCCAAGCTAGCTATTACACTACCGTGGCTCCTGAAATGCAGGACCCAAGCCTGTCACTGACATGTTAAAGACTCCAAATACAATCTAGCAATGATTTGCTTTGAAAACCTCCAGAAACCACTAAAGAAAACAGCTGCCTTAAGAAAACTCTGGGAGGCCAATCACAACAGTCATAAAAAGGCCCAAATGGCAGATTCCCTTGTGTTTCTGGGACTTGGTTAGTATTTCTCCCAAAGTCTTCATGACTGAGTAATGTTGTACACAACAATGTGGAAAACTACACCTTGCCTTGCAGTATGCTGATATTAGGTCTTGCTCTCAATTTCTGCAGTGAAACTCGCAATAGATTTTCCTCTAAGATGAAGGCTCTTGTTTGACTTCAGCTCCTAAATTCAACACGTGTTTAAGGACTGTTCTAGACTCATTTAGTGTCAGAGGCATTATTTCTCCCTTCTTTTATTTGGTTTTAACCTTGGACTTTTCGATTGATTTTTAGTCTAGTTTGTTTGCTATTCTGACTTTTTGCTTTCCATATGCAACCTTTTAACTATTTTGAAAGGTATCACTTAAATGATGGGTTTTTCCAAACATGGTATTTCTCAAATAGTACTCAACTCTTACCTACTAGCTACTATTCTGCACACAGTGACCTATTGCTCAAAACAAACAAACAAAAAAAGCAGGAAAATAGCTACAGATGGAGGGAAGAGAAGGGAAAAAGGAATACAAAAAGCCAAAGAGAAAAAAAGTACCAGAAAAAAGAAGAGGTTAAAGAAAGAAAGGGGAAACAAAATGTAATTAATTACTTTTGTGTTGGTTTAAAGTATTTCCCATATAAAGTATGGTTCTTAATAACGAAATGAAAGATTCTGATGCAAAATGCTTGAAGCTCAAGTTTCATGTGTTCCTATAAACGCAGAGAATACATCAATATATTTCCTTTCGTTTACTTCACTGATTTGTAAGGAAAATGCTACGTAGACGTCAATACATCTTAAAAGGAGGTTATATTAATATTCAGGTCAAGAGTTACCAAACTCACAATGGAGGCAGTACTACACTAGGTTCACTTTGGGGCTACCACTATCAATACGCTATTTTAAGTAAGAGGGTTACAGTTTTGCCTGCAACTGGAAAGATTAGGGGGGCTTAGATTAAAATTTAAGCAGACAAGTACAGCTACTTAATGAAAACAAAAAGGAGACAACACCAGGCCGTCTACTACGCATGGCTGCTTAGCCAGATTTGTCAAACACTGGGCAAGTTTCCATGACATGATTCAGGGAGGAGCCTAATATAACACCTTATTTTGCCAAGCAAGTTTAATAGCTTGGGTTTTTTAAGCAGGGCAGAAATAAAGAGCGCCCAAAGCAAAAAGCTTAGCAGTTATTAGAAACATTACTACTGCCTCTGTCTCAAAGGCATTACTGGAGAGTTCCCAGCCATACACAATATAGAGGTAGAAAAGACAGCTGCGTGTGCTAGACTAACCATCCATGCTGCAGTCCTTCCCACATTACTGTTCTGAAAAAGTAACTACATGAAGAAGATAAGCTATTATAAAGCACACCACACACAGTTACCGAAGTAGGTAATAAAAAAAATTTAACTTGCATGGAAAAAAACATTAAAGTTAGAAAAAAAAAATCCTATATCAAAGAGTCATATTATTGCTTATTTCACTTTAATCTTCAAAAAGAGACTACAAGGTGGATCTTTAGAAAGAACCAGACAGATAAAGAATGCAAATTACTGCTTCAGAACCATTCATATTTTAAATTCTAGAAAGAAAATTATCCTGCATCTAGTTCAGCAATTTAACCAAGTCAGAATTAGATGCGGAAGATCAAGGAAAGAATGAATATTTCCTACAGGTATCACTTAAAATCAGAATCATGGGATACAGCTGAATCCTGAAGTTGTCAAAAAAAGTTTGTATTTACATTAGAATACATTTCTATTTGACTAGTCTTCACTCAGCACCCAAGTTAAACAAGCTACATAAAAATTAGTCCATTGCAACCACATTTACAAAGGTGTTTAATGTGAGACAAGGTCCAGAATATCTTTTCTGAGATAAGAGCATTTCACAAACTATTGAATTATCATCTTAAGGCATGAGTGAAGATGCTTCTGTTTTGCTTGCATGTAGTCTTCTACTCGTCTGAGAAAGTTTCTGTGCCTACGATACACTACAACAGCATCAGTCAGAGGTGTGGAAACTGAAAACTTTCATCACTCACGACAGCAAGGAACTGCTAAAACACCTTCAGAGAACCAACCCATCTTTAACAATCACAAGCCAGTGGCCTTACAATTCAACTGCAATTTTGTTTTAGAAAAGCTTGAAAGCATATTCTTCAGTGGAGTTCTGGGATGGTATGTTATTCTGGAGCATCCTCATTTTTATTGTTCGTTAACTTATAAGCAAACAACAACAGAAATTTAAAAATGCTGAAGGTACTGTATAGTACTACTGGAATTCCTGGATAGTTATTGTGAATCTATTTATTCATTAATCCATGTAGAGTTTTAAAATCTCATGTTTTACTGTGGAAAAATAAAGAGATTTAACCACCAGTGTTAGCCTGCGCAGAAACACTGTAATAAAGGCAATAGCCCCTGTTACATTGGATTCTTTGACAGTACAGGCAGAAAAATGGAAAAAAAAAAATCTACTTCAAATCCTGTATCAACACATGAGATCTGAAGACAAGAGATCAAATTGTAACACTCAGTTTGGTTCTGAGATGAAGAATGCATACAGAAATTCAAGCCTTCGAAAGAAAAACCTAGATCTGAGGATCAGGTTCTTAAACGACGCTGAAATTTACAATACCACATTCTATACTGTCACCTCTTTCACAAGAATCGCTGCATCAGTGGGGAAAAAAACTCTCAATTTCACTCTACTAGGGAAATATCAGTAATTCAGATTTCTACTACAAAAAGCCAAACACGGTTTTACTTGTTACCAACAGGTCTTACTCTAAAGACCGTAGGAAGCATGGAATTCATTCTCAAACCGAATACGGTATTTGCAACCAACATCTCTGGTAGACTGCTCCTTCCTCATCAGAGAAGGAGGCTAACCGTCAGTGACAGCTAATAATTTCAACGCTCCAAGAGAAAAAGTATCAACACAGAAACCTAAGTTTCCCTCTGTAGTCATAGACGACATCATTACACTGACAGTCTGATCGATGAGGAAACAACTTCAGGGCCAAATCACACAAAAATTCAAGGAAAACATGACTAGGAACTGCCACAGCTCAGAAACTACAAGCGAGCTATCCAACATACATGCAACGCGCTGGTTACTTCAGATGAAAAGCAAACAAAAGGTATTCCTTTGCAAGGACGTCACTAAACCTGCACATCAAGAAATACCATGTATCAAAATACCTTCACTGTTCCCTCAGATGTTATCTACACGTGGTTGATCTACCTTCAGTAACCACAGTGACACAGCTGAATCCAAACGTGGCAGAAAAAATGCAAACGCAGAGAGACATGAGGAGATAAAGTCCCGGGTGTTGAATCACTAAGCCTTTTAACACCTTCTCAATTTTCCTGATGCTGCTTTAAAAGGGTAGCAAAACAAGGAGAAAGGTTCAGAGCAAGGGCTCGTCAGCTGCACTTTACAGAATATAGGCAGAAATTAAGTCTTCAGTGAAAAAATAAGGAAGAATTACCTGAATGGTCTCAACACAGCGTGAAAAATCTATGTCATTTTAATTAAGGGGGCATTTTAAGGCAAAAAGATGTCCAATCTTACATCCTCCGTTAGTACAGAATGCTGCCCTGCTGTTACCTCTGACCCAACCTTTCTCCCAGTCTTACGACATGATTTGGTGCTGCAACTGATCTAGACTGAAGTAGAAAGTACATTTCCTCTCATTAAGAAACAAATTTTTAAAGACTTTTTTTTTTTTTTTTTAACAATTTTACCCACAATGCTGTTCTTTTGAGTATCATTTTGTCAATTAACCTTTTACAATTCATAGTTTATTATAGCCTAGAACAATAAATTTTTAAAGACCTTTTTTTTTTTTTTTTAACAATTTTGCCAGCAATGCTGTTCATTTTGAGAAGTGAAATCTGTAGTCTTAGGAAATATTAGGAAATACAAGGCATACACAAAGGAGAAAAAAAAAATAAAAAGAATGAATCTTTATTCCTGAATAATTTCTTCCAGAACCATACTTAAATGTCTAACTATTATTCTTTTATATAAAAAACTGAGAGCACATTAAGAAAAAAGTTGCACTCCAAGCAGAGACGTGACAAAAAAATTAGATAGTGGATCCCTAAGTTTCAAAATTCCTGTTTCCCTTCTAGTTCCCTTTCTGATCGCAACTGCAACAAATTCAAATCAATCTTTAATGCATATTACAATAGCATACAATTTGGGTAAGAAATTTGGAACAAATGAAAAATGCAAGATAGCAAGTTTGCGTTTACTTTGTTCACTCCTGGAAAGCCTGTAGTCTATAAGGCTTCCAGGCTCAATGAACTCACAAAATTCAAGTGCAAATTGTAATTCTCATTTTTCTCACTGTTCCTAATAAACAGCACAGAGACTTACAGAGAGTTTAAAACCATAATTTAAACCAAAATTTAAATAATTTTAAACCATAATTTAAAACCAAAAAACAACCAGCTATACACAGGCACTGCCTATTAATTATATCCCTACAGATTTTTAAACCGAGTACTCATCGACAAAAGTGAATATATTTGGAAATAAAAGTTTAAAAACTGCATGACACACTGAATATCGCAGAGTGGGCACAGCCCAGTGTGAACAGCCATGACTTTTGGAAGAAAGCAATCAGAGATGAATTAGGGATAGAAAAAAAAACAGTCCTTATACCAGAAGTGGAAGAAAGTAGGTATTACGGAAGGAATACAGTGGTTTGTTGTACAGTCTGTAAAGACTCCTGCTATGACTCCCATGTTACTGAGCAATTCTGAAACAGTGCAAGTTTAGGAAGATGAGCAGACAAAGTAAGTTATTCATCCAGTATAACAGTGGTAAGAATCAACCTGATGGGTTGAGAATTAGCAAGAACGTTGACATCAACAGTCTCAAGTTAGCATTGAATTGCTTTTGTTAAGAAGACCCGAAGGATTTGAAAATATATAACGTAGTTAGTATGCCCTAGCAGCCTTAACGCCACTTTCTTAAAAATGACCTTAACAAATTTTGTAGTGAAATAGGAAACATTTCAATCTTTAAGAGACAAAGTGGTATACACTGGAATAAGATTTTCAGATAATTCCAAAGTAACAGTAGCAGATCTGAGTTGTGGCTTTCAAGAACGTTACCTGTACTTTGGTATACTGTCAGGAGCTGGAAGAGCTTTTCTAAAGTTTAAACTTTAATTTGTTCCTACTTTCCAAGGTTCCAAGTTTAACTGCTAGGATTATACATTCACATGCAAGGTCCTCAAACTTAGCTCACGTTAATGTTTCCTTTCAGTGGTCAAATGCTAAGCAAATGAACACATTAGCAAAGGAAACAGCTACTCAGCAATAAAACAATCAACAGAAGAAGTGATGTCAGAATCCATATTTAAGATTCACATTAACAAGGACAAATGCAACTATGACAGAAATTATGACTACATTCCACAAGATGAGGTAACAAACAAAGGAAAACAAGTTCAAACACAAGATAAGATGAGCTTAAATCTGAACAAGAATGGAATCATGTAGAGGAGAGGAAAGGGCACAGATACAAATAGCACAAAATCTACTTGAAAGTTTAAGCACAGGGGGATGTTAAAATGATAAATAATGGCTTTGCATTTATATAGCACCATCCATCCAAACAAGACAAAGCGCTTTACAAATATTAATGAATTGAGCCACGGTGTCTTCAAAGGTATCCATATTAAATTTGAAGTGTGGTGTAACAGTACTTTAAAGAACACCAGTGACATCTTTATTGGTTCTTTCCTATGCAGGCTATTCGCCTATGAAACATCACAAGTACCCCTGTTCTAAAGCATTTCTATATTCCATGACACATGCTACGCTTTTATACTTCAGGTGAAAGAAGACTCAAGAGGTACATAATCAGCATCTATAAATACTTATACGGTAACAATGGAATGACAGAAAATTACTCTTATTCTCAAATGTCAGAATGAAGGAATGGTCTACATTTCAAAGGAAAAGCGTGTTTAACCAGATATTGCAGCAAAACCTTTCCACGGTTAAGTAGCAGCAGCACTAGAAAAAAACACTACCGAGGAATAATTCTAAGACATTAGCACTGCACACATTCAAAATAATTGTACATAAAATAATTACATCCTAATAATTCTATAAGAAATAAGTAAACTCAGACTGCACCTTCTAGCCCATCTATCATTCTGCAATCTTAGAACCACTCTGAAGAAAGAAAAAGCGGGAAGAGACAAGACAACGAGCCTTACCCTCTGAGCTTTTGCAAGTTCTTCTTTCAATCTTTCATAGCCCTTTTCTCTTACTTCCAGTACAGATGGGCTCCGTAAGTGAGATAAACTGTCTGTACTCAACCCAAAAATATCTTCATTTCCTTCAGCAACATCTGCTACTGTAGCACCCTGCAAAAACTCTCTCTCTGCGTTATTGCTCTCCTTTCTGGAATTATTGTGATTGAATGACCCACCCTGGGGTCCAGAGGTAGAACAAAGTATGGCGTCGGTAACATTGATGCTGTAAAGAGAGTGATATATTTTTTTATTTTTATAATACATTAAGAAGAAATATTTTAGAAATGGCAGTAGTGGTGTTGAACGTACCGTTATGTACGCAATTTAACATTACAACATTGAAAGTAATATTAAAATTTTATCTTTAGTAAAGCAAGCAGTTTATATGCAACAAACATCAGCGATTTAAATAAAAAGACACACAGAACTTACCTGACACCTGATGCCTCTCCACAATTCAGCTGTCTGGGAGATGAATAAACAGGTTGTGTGGGAAGGTCAGAAACGTTTAATGCATTGGGCTGGATTGGTGCGGAGGACACAACAGAAGGATGTGGTCGGTAGATAACACTGGGTGAGGTAGTTTGTTCCTGAGTCCCTGGATCATTTACTCCAAGAAGATCTGGTGTAGTAGGCGAAGCGAGGTTCACTTCATGAAAGCCTTCCAAGGGGTCACTGGCCATAATAAAAGCCTCATCATATGAAACCCTGAATTAAATAATCACATTATCAGAATGCAAACAGGGAATATTTAATTATATCTGAGAACTATTTGAATTAAAAAAACACCCAGACAAATATGTTCAGAATACTTCATGATATAATGGAAACTGCGGACGAATCTTGCAGAAGTACCAACTCCAACCACCAAAAATGTTTTTTCCACACATGGGACTGTTGAGTCCAGAAGATCTAAGTGGGATGATGAAATCAAGAACACAGTCTATATCATAAAACAAAGTCTTCTTTAATATCGCCTAGAGTTGTTTTCTATCAAAACACAAATATATTGCATTCATGAACAACAGGGAGACCTGGGAACCAGTAAGGAAAAAAAAAAAAAAAAAAAAAAAAA